TGCTGAACCAGGCTTGACACCCCACTCTGCCTGGTGCAGCTCAGGCCAGGCAGGCCACCGGCTCAGGCACAACTGCCACCCAGTCACCAGGGGACGGCCAGCCCTGGGCTTTGGCCCTATGCTCCCTCAAACCACCTCCATGCCACCTGCCTCCAGCTTCTGCTGGACAATGGGGGAAAGCTTGGACCCAGGAGGACACAGCCTGTGGCCAAGAGCAGAACTGAGCTGAGCCACATGGTAGCATGGGCCAGGCCAGGCAGCGGCCGGCAGAGAAGCCACAGGAGGGAGGGCTGGCCCCAGCCCCTGAGCGCCACTGGGCCACGCCCCAACACTCAAGACCAAACCACCGAAAACCTTCCACACAGCCCGTGGGTGATGCCGATGGGCGCTGAGGGGCTGCAGACTGGCTGAGTGCCGTTCTGGGGCCAGCAGAGCAGCCACATGGGGCGCTCAGTACCCGCAAAGTGCAGAAATCGAGAGCCCGTGTCCATCAGTCTTCCAGGTCGTGGAGAGCTGCTTCGCCTCGTAGGAATGTTCTCACTGACGACACAGGAAAGGGCCACAGTCCTCACGGCCTTGATCAGTCAACACCACGTGGCTTCCAGGACAGATGGGACAGCTGGACAGACTGACTCCAAGTCCCAAGAGCAGGGCAGGCTGCCCTGTGCCCTCGATGACTTCCCCCTCAAAGCTATTCATGTCGGAAGCCAGATTTTACATAGCTTTCTCAGAGCGCAATACAAATACCATTGTTTTTAAAAGAAACTGGGCTTGGGAACCAGCAGTTAGCGTAATGGCTATGTCGCTGGACTCCCACGTAGTCGACCGCGGTTCGTGACTCGGACCCGGTAGCTTAAATCTCACGCCGGGCGCGTGTGCGTGCGTGCCCAAGATCCCGAGAGGAGAATGGAGGAGAAGGGATTGCGGTGTGACCATCCCCCCTGGGGGGTGATTTCTTGCTTTCTGTCTCTATGTCTCTGTCTGTCTGGCGAGCGCACGTGCCCTACAGTGAAAACCTCCCCAAAAAAAAAAAAAAGAAAGAAACTGGGCTTCAGGACCAGCAGTTAGCGTAATGGCTATGTCGCTGGACTCCCGTGTAGCTGATGGCGGTTCGAGTCCCGGACCGGATGGCTTAAACTCACGCCGGGCGCGTGTGCGTGTGTGCCCAGGATCCCAAGAGGAGAATGGAGGAGAAGGGATTGCGGCATGACCATCCCCCCGGGGGGTGATTTCTCGCTTTCTATCTCTCTGTCTCTCTCTTTCTTTCTGGTGAGTGCACGCGCCCTATAGCGAAAACCTCTCCCCCCATA